AAGTCATCAGCAAACTTGGTCCCAGGTGAGTGCATTCTTGCTTTGCCCAAAAGTTTCAGTGGAACAACTTCTCTCATCAGCTGACATGACACATGTTGATAGGCATCAATGAAACTTGCACAAGCATGGACAGACAGATCTAATTCCTTGTCCTTAGGTTTAAATAGGATGCAGGTTTTCTCAGGGTTTCCCAGAATGTCACATTCAGTGCTGTACTTTTTTTCTATCTTTGGTATCTCCTGGAGTATTTCAGCTTCTAAAAGCTTATACTGAAAAGTATCAACTTCAGTTCTATTCATCATGCATCTGGGAGTTGATATTTTCACAGGTCCCATGACACGACTTTTAGAATCTTTTAGAGCAAAAAAATATCTAGCAGCTGAAATGTCATCTTGGGTCCCAAAGAGAATTAATTCTCCTCCTTTCTCCTTTACAAGGAGTTTTGTAAACTGTTGACTCAATTCCTGTTTGATTTTATTCGCCTGCTGACTGTCTGCGAAAGCAACACATTCTTGTTCCAGAAGCCCTACAGTTTTCTGAAACTCACGGACAAAAAAATCTTGAGCTGCTTTGAGGTCACCTGATTGATTTGAGGTGAAGTCTAAGTAGACTAGGTTCGAACTCTGCTGGATTAATATTTCTACACCAAATCTTTTCTGTATTGAGTCTATTTTATCAGGACAGATTAATTGGAAGTATTCAAAGAAAGGCAAGGGAATTTCAAAAGGGTCACTTTTTGCTTCTGCCCTGTTTTCTGGTTCAGAGGAAGAAATGCAGCTATTCTGGTGCTGATGGACTGGCTCCTTCTCTGTTGTTAAAGAGGAAGATTCCTGTTTCTGCCCATTTTCCTGGAGTTGCTTATTCAAGAAGTGATATATCTTTTCAATATCTCCGAAGGTACCACACACCTTCTCAATTCCACTGGGCCCTTCCATCCTTTTGATGTTGGGGCAGATGGTGGTTATGTGTTCCCTCTGCTCTTTAGAGAACAGGTCATAGTTCAGGTCAGCTGTGACACTAAGAAAGATCTGAAATTTTAAAAGGAACAAACAAAATCTCTCAGACATCAGCCCAACAGTCTCCTGTCAGGACAATGTCTAGAGACCAGACAAACGGCCACGATGTCTTCCCTTAGCAGAGGGTGACATCTTTCAAATCCTTTCTGCAGAGAATGCAGCATGCTACAGCCCAGAGGGTCTCAGCTCTGTCTGCACATTAGAATCACCTGGGGAATTAAAACATAACAACAACAACGGCAAAAAAAAAACCCAAACAGACAAAAAAAGCCAAGAACCAGGTCCATCTCCAGAGAGTCTGATGTAAATGTAGAGCCTGGGCATGAGGTGTATTTAAAATGTGATGTGGACAAGAACTCTGGATTCTAGAGCCTCCCACTCTCTCCACTACTGGGGAATGGGGTGAAGGGAAGGTATTTCTTTCTGGGCCAGCTGCTGTGGTTCTCACAAGAGGCTGTGAGCTTGGAAGGGAGCCATAAATCTGAGAAGGATGTTTTTTCCTATTTACAGTTTTTTCACTTCTTCAATTCCCCTCCTCTTTAAAAACAAAAATTAAGCACCTAACTGCATGCAGTATTGCTGGGCCCTCTAAATCCTGTTCTTGAAGAAGCTCCAATACAGGACAAAACCAGCAGATTAAGCTAAAAAGGACAGAGGCAAATTGAATGCAATCAAAAAGCAAGATTTCTATGTTCTGCTCCCCTCAAGGTTTTTGCACATTCTATTTCCTCCACATGCAACGCCCTTCCTCCAGATCTTCCTCCAAATGTTTCCCTGAATGCAGCCACTTCTTACACCTCTGTCAGGACCACCCAGGCTCCAAGCCATTGTCATCTTGCTCCTGGCCTGCTGCAAGGTGGGCTCTCACCTCCTGCTTCCACTCTGGCCCCGTCTCAGGACACTCAGTCCTCCACACAGCGGCCATTACATTACATTAAGAAATGTAAATCATATCACCCTACTCTCCTGGCTCAAAACCATTGATCAGATGAATCCTCTAATGTTGAAGTTAAAAATCCAAAGTCCTTATCTTCATCCCCCCACAGCCTAACTTCTGGCTACGTCTCCAAATTCCTCTCCTGACACTCCTCTCTTGCCCACTGCCTTCTAGCAACAACCGTCTCCCTCCCTGAAGCTCCTGGGGTTAAGGATAGAAGCTCCTGTCTCAGGACCTTTGCACTTGTGCTTCCCTTTGCCTTGAACATTCTTACCTCACTTAGTTAGCTCCCTTACTTCATTCATGTCTCTACTCAGATACTACCTCATTTGAGAAGTTTTTCCTGATATCTTACTTACAATAGTGGTCTCCAGATCCTGTTGCACACAGCAGGCAGTTGATATTGACTGGTCGAATGACTGCATGGCTGGCTCCTTTTCATCACTCAAGTCTCGGACCAAACGTCACCTCCTCAGAGAAACCGACTCTGACTTGCAGTCAGAAGCAGCACCACCCCCTTCCGTTTCTCACCCTGGTCCTGTCACCCTCTAAGGCAAAACCCTATTAGATTTTCTTCTTAGCACATATCACTGCCTGAAATGGTTTTATTTATTTTGTTTATTTTGTTTACTTGCTTCTTGTCTTTCTATGTACCTCCCCACCCAGCAGGGACTTTGTCTATTGTGCTCACTACTGTGTCCCGAGGCCTAAAAGAACACCTGCCTCCTAGTGAGTCCTCAGCAAGTGGTGGTTGGATCAATAATAAAAGATATGGTGAATGGAGAGGAAGGTGCAGGAACATACCTACCTCCTTCTTTCAATGCTCACCTTTTGGACACAAGAATCCACAGCATTAGGAATATGTTCTTTGTTGGCATGCTTCGCACCAAAAGCATCCTGTGACTGTGTCAGCGAAGATGTTTTGGGTCTTGCATTCTTCTCTGTTGGATTCTCAGTGGGCTCCAGAGAAACATTCAGAACTTTGTTGTCAACCATAATCTGATGATTTTTTTTCTTCAAGACTCTCTCTTTAGCTTCAGTGGAAACATTTAACACACACATACACGTGGGAAAGGCTTCAAATAAACCTCTTATTCATGCATCTGTACCCTGCCCCAGCAGCTTCCCAGGAAGGCTGTTCCCTGCATCCTGGAATGGTAGATTGATGACAGGGCATGTACAGGAGCTATTCAAACTCTAACGGGGGCCGCTTACGTTTTATGGTAGAAATGAAAGCTCATGATAATGGAATACAGTCTACTCTTTAAAAGTCACATTTCTGAAACTGTCTCCAGTTTCCCATTTCAATGATATGGAATAATATTCATTATATAAAGTTAAGTGAGAAAAGCAGATTATCAAAAATAGAATTCCTAAATGACAAGAGTTTATATGTATATGGAGGAGGGAAAGGTGTTCTTCCCAGAGCTAAGAAATCTGAGTCAGGATGAGGATACTGGAAAGCATCAACTTTAAAATGCAGTCAGATCAGGGGCCTCCGCGTGGTTGAAGTTGGTTAAGCATCTGACTCTTGTTTTGGCTCAGGCCGTGATCTCACGGCTTCATGAATTTGAGCCCTACATCGGGATCTGTGCTGACTGCACGGAGCCTGCTTGGGATTCTCTCTCTGCCCCTCCCCTGCTTATGCGGTCTCTGTCTCTCTCATAAATAAGTAAGTTAATTAAAAATAAAATAAAATGCGGTCAGATCAGATCACTAACCAACTAGGCACTTCTGGGCTCTAGTCTCCCTGTTGGGTTGCATCTTTGGGCAGGAAGAGGCTCTCCCCCCACCATCCCTGTCCCCACCAGACAGTGTGTAGAGAGCAAAATGGAGTCCCTTCATGTCAAGCAGGGGCCTGTGTCAAGCAATGACACAAAGTAGTTAAAGGTACTGCAGCTAAGAGACATTATCCACCAGCATCAGCTGACCCCCCCAGAACTGATAACAAGCAGAAGCAGAAGAGGTCTGCAGGGACCCAAGACCAATTAAATTCCTTTAAAAAGGGAGGTGGCGGGGGAGGTGGCGGGGGAGGTGGAGGGGATCTTTGCAGCAAACTGTCAGACTCTTCAGACATGACCTGTCTATGTCTGGCCACTTAAAAACGGCAGCTGCGAGGAAAGCCCTGCGCGATTGATCTCCAAGAGAACTGAGATCCTTCACCGCTTGAACATAATAAGCAGTGAGTGCTGCGGACTGACCCAAAGAGAGAGAAGCCTTATCTCAACTGCGTGCCCACAGACCGACTTCACGTTTGGTTTGTTACCTTCCTACACCCTTCTGTTTTCCTGTTTGTTGTGCGGCTTTTCTTCTGTCCTGCTGTGTGTGCTGTGTAAAAAGTCAGGTTTGGGGCGCCTGGGTGGCTTAGTCGGTTAAGCGTCCGACTTTCGCTTAGGTCATGATCTCGCGGTTCGTGGGTTCGAGCCCCGCGTCGGGCTCTGTGCTGACTGCCAGCTCGGAGCCTGGAGCCTATTTCGGAGTCTGTGTCTCCCTCTCTCTCTGACCCTCCCCTGCTCACGCTGTCTCTCTCTCTCTCTCCTAGAAATAAATAAAAATATTTAAAAAAAAAAAAGTCAGGTTTAATTCTATGTGAAGTGTCATTGGGTTTGGAATCCTGAACCTGCTTTCTAATGCTCATCAACTTTGCTTATGACCGAATAAAGCTGACCCTCTGTGGACAGACACACTCCCGTGTGCGCCTTCACTCGTGCTCAGGACCCGGTGCTGTACTCGCTCCCCCCCTCCCTCTCCTAGGTCAGCTTGAACTGGGTCGGCTTGGAATCCCTCAGGGCCGGGTCCCTTTGCACCCGCCCGCGGCCGGCTGCTCACCTTCCTTTTCCATGAACTTCACCTGGAAGGAGACCTGGTCCCCGTAGCAGAGGGGCTGGACGACGCACTCCCCGCCGCCAGACATCTGGCTCTGGAAGTAGATTTCCAGCTTCCAGCGTGTTCGCGGGGTGGCCTCGGACACATGCACGAGCAGCGGGGACGGCGGACGGACGGTCGAGGCCATGGCTCTCGGCGTCGGGCTCCGGCTCCGGCTCCCGGGTGCAGCTGGGCAGGGGAATGAGCGCGCAGTGCCCTGCCGCCCGGGGCCGTAAAGTTTCAGTTTCGCTTTTCGGGAAATCCCTCCCCGTTTCTGGCAGTGTCTCTCCCTGTCCTCTCTGGGCCGCCCTCCCTGCCGCGGTCCGCGGGGTAAGTCCAAGCACCCCCAGGCCCTGACCGGCCGCCGGGGCGGGGGGTGGGGGTCGGTGGGCGCTGTCGCTGCAGCTTCTCTCAAGCGGGCTCGGGCGGGGTGGGGGTGGGGGTCTCCAGAAGCCGGTTCCCAGGGCCCGGCGTCCCCTTGTGAGCATGGGGACTGCGCAGAGCTTTTAAAACTAAGTATCTCTTGTGCTTATCATTCCTTTTAATAACTCCTTGTGGTTAACTATTATTCGCAGCGAAAATGTAATTCACATTGTGAACTCGGGTAAAACGTACCTACATTTCTTTTAAAATTTGAATTTGTCCACCTGCGTTATGACATGTCACCAGTTACCTCCCTCCAACTCTATGCTTTAGAGTGGCTCTTGGGACTTTTGTACCCTCAGGCCTCGATTTGGCCAACAGTGTGACCTAGGTAATGCCCTGCGTACTAGGGAATAAAGATGAGAGACCCTGACCTCAGAGGCTGGGGAAAGGAGGGTGGTCTTGTGCATAAAGAACATCTTTTGAAGGCCTCCAAGAGTAAGTTGGAAGCAGAATCTTAATAAGAGTGAGGACTGGGGAGCATCTGAGGCTCTAGAATCCTTGTGGTCTGAAGCACAGAGGGAGGGGCACTTGGCCTTGGAGGAGATGAGATGGGACTGAGGGAGGGTCTGGATGAGGGCTGACCAATAGAAATAGAATGGGAGGTACATGTGTAATTTCAAGTGTTTTTAGTAGCCATATTTTTAAAAGTATATGCCCACAGTTAACACCTGTGTGAAGTGACCTAAGTACAAAGTTGTTCTTTACAGCCTTTATTACAATAGCAGAAGTTTGGGAACTCCTTAACTGTCCATAAATAGGGAGACCTAGAAGTTTAATAGGTTGTAGCGCATCTATACAATGGAATATAAAAAGCAGCGAAAAGAATGAAGAAGCTCTTTATGTGCTAAGATGGAAAGATCTCAAGGATACATGATATGAAAAAGGTAAAATGCGGAAGAGTGTGTAAAGGATGCTACTTTGTATGTAAAAATGCCTCTAGAAGGATCCAGGACAAGCTTATAACATTGATTGCACCTGAGAAGGAAACTTAGTAAGGGGTACAGGAGGGAGCCTTCTAAATTTGTTCTAAATGTGAATCAGTAAACATTATACCTATTCAAAGAATAAAATGTAAACTTGAATACGTTTCTATCTTTATTTCCTTTATGTTTGTTTATTTATTTTGAGAGAGAGGGAGAGAGCGCAGGCACAGGAGGGAGAGAGAGAATCGCAAGCAGACTCTGTGCTGACAGCACAGAACTCGATGTGGGGCTTGAACTCACGAACTGTGAGATCATGACCTGAGCTGAAACCATGAGTTGGATGCTTAAGTTTAACCGACTGAGCCACCCAGGAGCCCCTCCATTTCAATCTTTAAAAACAGTGTATTGCCTCAAGGCAAGAGGCTCTTGAGGCCCTGAGTTGAAATTTTGTCAGTGGGCAAGAAGGGTAGGGGCAAATTTGAAAGTGATTTAGGTGGTCAGGACCCAGTGATGGGTTGGATATGACACAAAGGAGAAGATTCTAGATTCCTGATTGAGTGGGCAAGTGGTATATCATTTACTGAACTGTGGAATCCAGGAGAGAATGTGTGGATTTTGGAGGAGTTGGTGAGAGCAGTAGAGGTTATGGAGTAACAGTGGGGGAAGTATGGGTTTAATGTTGCAGAGGCTGTCTGTGAGGGGACGATGGGACATCCAGGTGGAGCTGAAAATTGAGGACCAGGAGGAGTATAGCCTAGAGATAGGTATGGGAGTCGTATTTGCAGCTGGTAAGTTGGAGCCTTGAGAGTGGATGAGATCACCCTTGGAGACAGTGGGTCAAATGAGCTGAGAGGTACTCGTCAGACTGACTCCTGGAACATTCAGTTAAGGATTCGACCATGGAATTGATCCCAGGGAAAAGGCCTGTAAAGGCAAGGTGAGAGGTAACAAAAGAACCCAGGGAAGTTGGCATAGGAGAAGCCAAGAAGGCAGAGTTTCAGGAATCAAAGAATGAAATGTAGTAGAGAGCTGTCAAGTAAAGATTAGGACAGAAGATAGACTGCTGGGATTAACCATATGCAGGAGTGCTGAGAGGAGCTGGAGAGCCAGACTAAAGTGTGCTGAGCATGCAGATGGGCAGGAGGAGAGTCAACTCCTTCATACTACCCATGGAGAGAAAGAATAGGAGCCATTGATGGAAAACTGAGAAGGCATTTGTTCTTGCTGCTGTTGTTTTTAAAGCGGAAGAGACTGAATGTCTGGGGCAATATGCTGCTTGTTTCCAATTTCTTTGGGGTTACAAGAACCCCACTCCCATTGCCATCTATCCCTAGGTCTTCATTGAAAATCCCTAGGTCTGAAGGAAAACTAACCACAACAGCATCGAAAGCAAAAGCCCACTGGAAGCTCATAGCTAAGCAGACACTGAAGCCATCCTTCTTTTCTGAAAACAGCAGTGCCCTCTAAAGGCAAAGATGTATCTTGTCTTTGCATTTTAGGATTCTAGTGGCCTTGCTGCTTTTCCTGACTCTTAAGATTCTTGGTTAGTGCTAGGGGGCGCCTGGGTGGCTCACTCACTTAAGCATCCAACTTCCACTCAGGTCATGATTTCCTGGTTTGTGAGTTTGAGCCCCATGTTGGGCTGTGTGCTGACAGCTCAGAGCCTGGAGCCTGCTTCAGATTCTGTGTCTCCCTCTCTCTCTGCCCTTTTCCTGGCTTGTGTTCTCCCTCATAGATAGATAGATGGATAGATAGATGGATAGATAGATAGATAGATACAAGAATGATAGTGCTGTACTGCTGGAGATAGTGCAACAAAAATTTTCCGTACCAAAGGCATTAGAAATCATTTCAGGGGCCTGAATGCAACTGTGTGGGCAACAAAGGCAGGCAACTGTATCTTGAAGCATTTTCATCATCACTCTAAAACTTGCCAGTCTTGGGGCACCTGGGAGGCTCAGTCGGTTGAGTGTCTGACTTCGGCTCAGGTCGTGATCTCACGGTTCTTGGGTTCGAGCCCCGCGTTGGGCTCTGTGCTGACTGCCAGCTCAGAGCCTGGAGCCTGCTTCAGTCTGTGACTCCCTCTCTCTCTCTGACCCTCCCCTGCTCATGCTGTCTCTCTCTCTCAGAAATAAATAAAACATTGAAAAAAATGAAAAAAACCTTGCCAGTCTTTAATTCCTCCCTGTTAGAGAAACAATCTTTAATATACATTTTTGCAGAGTTTCTGATTTTTATCCTGACATTCCCCCCACCCTTTTTTAAAAATCTTATTTATTTATTTTGAGAGAGAGCACAAGTGGGTGAGGGGCAAAGTACGAGAGAATCCCAAGCAGCCTCCACCCTGCCAGCTCAGAGCCCAGAGCAGGGCTTGATCCCACAATTGTGAGATCATGACCTGAGCCGAAATCAAGAGTCAGCCACTCAACTGAATGAGCCACCAAGGCGCCCCTGACATTCCACTTGTAATGTGATCGAGGATATTTATCACAAACTCATTAACACATACTCTTCACCGGCACAAGCACAATTTATTCTTTCTTCAAATATCCTTCAGGGTCTTCATGTACTTATAAGTCGAGTTTTTCCTCATTTTTTTCCTTTTGAATGCTGTGCTCATTCCTACCTCTTGGTTTCATCCTCCTCGCCTAGATTATGTAAAATCTTGCTCCATCTTTCAAGCTCTGCCTCTATCCTCACCTCCTGCCCTAAAGCTTTCCCTGCTGTAGTCCATATAGCTCTTTTCTTTCTCTCAACTGCCGGGAAGGTTTCAACTGGGACCTCTCTGTGAAGGATAGAAGGGGAACAGCAACAACAGCAGCAAAAACAATGCGTGCATCTTCACCAATGAAATTAAAAACTACTCAAGATCAGAAATCATATTTAGTCTTCCTGTGGTATATTCTTACCAAATTCCCTGAGAAACTAGTCAGTGCTTATTGCATCGTTTCTATTCATTTCTAGAAGCAGTCAACGGTATTTGGGAATGACAAATTTATGCTTGGAAACCCAAAACAGAGTATAAAGACCCTGGGGGCCTGGAGGATGGACTTTTCCAATGTAAAAAGTGTAAGTATCTACACATATTGAACCTTGATCAGCAGATGAATAGTTCCTCCTGTAACAGAATCCTCGGGTCTTTAGTTCTACTTGGCATTCTTCTTTGGTTTTAATAGCCTGATGAAGTTTTTACCTTGCATTTTTACCTTGCATGATGTAAGAGATAGGAAATCAAGAATGTGCTAATATAAGCAACAGAGTCAACATGAGGATGGGTGTTTTGTTTTTTCTTTTTCTTTCTTTTTTTTTTTTTTTAAGTAGGCTCCATGTCCAGCGTGGAACTCAACGCAGGGCTTGAACTCATGACTCTGAGATTAAGACCTGAGTTGAGATCAAGAGTCAGACGCTTAACCCACTGAGCCACCCAGGCACCCTAAGGATGGGTGATTTTTTAAAAAATGTCATCTCGGTATCATTGATTCTATCTACTCATTCAGCAGTTCTGCCTTTGCAGGATGAGGTGAGAAGATGTGGGAGGAATGAAAATCAGAGAATGGAGAAAAGGCACCTAATGTCTTTGAACTGAAAATTCTATGTTCAGGCTTGCATCCTGAAATAAACAATTGAGAGTGGGTCCTTACTGGTAGATGGGGAGGTGTAGCTGATGAGGTTCACGTCCCCATGTCTCCTGTTTTGTCTAGTGAAACCCCACAAGCTTTTGGAGATTAGAGGCCTGTCTGGGAGTTTGGGGTCATTTTGGTCTGTGACCTTTGGACATTTTCAAGTGTTAATCTCCAGTCCTTCCTCTCACCCTGAATTAGAAGTTCACTGGCCTCCAGGGAAGTAGGGTAGGGTCAGTGTTTGCTGGGACATTTAGGATTTCGTGTATGTCATGTACATAGATTAAACAAACAAATATGTGTTCCCCTTCCCCCTCAAACCCAATGCTTTTTGCAAGTTTTTTTTTGTTGCGATGTGTTTACTAGGCTGTATTTGTTATCAGTACTTCTGTAGTCATTCATTTACAATTTTAAAAAACATTTTATTTATCACAGGGTTCTGGAGCAGCGGCTTACAATGAGAAATCAGGTAGGACCACCTCACTCTTGTTCCAGAGGATCTCTGCTTAGGCCTTTCCTCTGTGGAGAAAGGGGGATATAGAAGCAGAATGTCTCCCCACTCCCCAGGTGCTCAGGTGTGCGAGGACATCATGGTGACCCAGCATACACCTCAGAGGGGAGACTGCTTCAGGGGCAGCATGCCACCAGCAGGCATGTTCCCTTAATGCTCCCACTGATCCTTTGCTTTGCCCACCAGATGTAAGACTCTTCTGACCACAGCCTAGAGCTGATATTGGCCGGAAGAAGTGACCTACTGATTGTTCTTTTCTTAACAAGTTGAATGAGCCCAATGGAACCTGCCTAATCACAGGAGTGGCCCATGTGAGATTTTTGACCAAAGCACAGGCCAACTTGATTTGACTATTCATTTGCTGCTTCTTTTAGGTCATTGAGGCCACCAGAGATCTTTCTAGGTGGCTCAGATTAGAAACGGGAGTTGAATTAAAATGTAATTACTTACCATTTTGTCTCTTTGGGGACACACATTTTTTCACATCTCTGAAATAGGGCTACTCCCTGTCAGTCAGTAGAATGCCTTGGCATAATTGGCATTGTTGTTCCTCTCTCAGTGGCATATGATAATGATGCCTTAGGCTCCATGAAATACAGTGTCACAGGTTGGTTTCTCCCGGAAGCAAAAACTGAGATGGAGTTAGGGGTACAGAGGGTTTACTGTGAGAGGAAAGGAGAAGAAATTGGATAGGGTGGTGGGGCCACCAGACTATAACGAAAACCTGGCAGAGCTTTGCCAGCCTGAGAGTACCCATTACAGAAGCCCAACGTTGAATGTATGTAAATGGTTGATGGGTGCCACCCTGAGGATAGTGTGACCTTGGCTAGAAAGCTGAAATGGACCCTGAGGGGCTAACAACTAGCCATATTTCCCCCTCACCATATTCCCCCCTTCATAGCTGCATTGAAGTGGGGGCGGGGGGGGAGGTCCAAATAGCACATCTTATCTGCCACATAAAATACTTCTTAGTTTTAATTCCACCAGAATTGTGCCATGAAAGTAGAGTATGATGAAGAATCATTTACTGTAGCTCTATCAGTGCTCCACACACTTGCTGGTCCATGCGCCCACAGAAGCATCCTCAACCAGTGATTGGTGGAAGTTGGATAAATATTCCCCCAGTTTTTACCCCTCTGGTGGTAGAACTCTGAGACACGTGATCTGCACTGCCCCCTAGCTGAGCAAAACTTCATTTGCTTTCTAGCACACCCTTTATTCATTTCCTTCCTTAGGTCCTGTCTTACTTCCTTTCCCACTCCGCCCTTTTCATCCTCACCCACCCCTGGTGTTTTCTAGGGTCACCTCCCAAATAAACTTACACTAAAATCCTCATCTCAGAGTCTGCTTCTAAAAGAACCCAAACTAAGACCCTGACAAAAGCAAACAAGTTACGAATAAATTCTCCATATACATTTGACTCATAACTTCGTCCTTTCCCATACATAGGCCTTAAGCATGGGTGTTCCCAGAGTCACCATTTTTACATAAATTTTAAAAATTCAGAAGTCCTCATACGCATAGTTTTCTCACCATCGTCACTGTAGCATACCATTTACTGAGTACTTACCGTGTGCCAGACACAAAACTAAGCACTTTATACGTGACCTCCCATGAAAAACTCTTGTATATCCTTGATCTAATTACATGTCTAGGTGAAAAAGAGAACCAGGAAGGGGGAGAGAGGAAGTTCATTTCTTTTGCACACGGGAAGTTCAGTGTCCTGGTATGAAGTGGAATTACATCTTTTGCCAAGGAACCCTTGCTCGTTTGTTTTTTATCTTCTCTCTTTTTCCAGAGACTGCCAGTCTTAAAGAAGATTGTGGTCAGCAAATTCCCATTAATCACAATGCCTTCAGAATTTTAAAAAGCAATGAGAGTCAGCTGTGTGAAGTCCTTCAGAATAAATTTGACTGTATCTGTACCCTCATCTCTGCATCCCCAGAAGGTAACAATGAGACTCTGCAAGTCTTCAGAGAAATGCTCATTCCTGGGCTGGAGTTATCTGTTTGGAGGGATGACCTCACCAGACATGCTGTTGATGCTGTGGTGAACGCAGCCAACGAAGAACTTATTCACGCGGGAGGCCTGGCCCAGGCCCTGGTGAATGCTGGGGGCCCTGAAATCCAAGAGGAGAGCAGAAGTATTATTTCCAGATATGGTAAAATACAAACTGGTGACATAGTTACCACAGGAGCAGGGAGACTTCCCTGCAGGTTAATTATCCATGCTGTTGGGCCTCGGTGGCTGGCGGAAGATGCTCAGAGATGTATCGGTAAGCTGCAGAACGCCATTAAAAATATTCTGGATTGTGTCACCTCTCCCTGGTCAGACATTGAGACCATAGCAATTCCAGCCCTGAGCTCTGGGATTTTCCAGTTCCCTCTGGACTTGTGTACACAGACCATTGTGGAAACTATCAGTATTTATTTCCAAAGGAAGCAACTGGCTGGTAATTTGAAAGAAATTCACCTAGTAAGCAATGAGCAACCTACTGTTGTTGCCTTTAAAAATGCTTCAGAAGTAATCCTGAGAGTGAACAAGCTGGGATCCTGGGTGAGTCAAGAAGTCATCCGACCTGACAATACGATTACCGTGAACAATGTGACTCTCCAGATTGTCCAGGGCTACATTGAACAGCAGGAGGTGAGTCTTTGATTCTGTTCTCTTGCACTGTCAAAGGAGATCCCTGATTGCCTGCCAAGTATTTTTTTTTTTTAATGTTCGTTTGCTTATTTTGAGAGAGAGACAGGCGGGGATGGGGAGCACAAACAGAGGGGCAGAGAGAGGGGAAGAGAAAGAATCCCAAGCAGGCTCCACACTCAGCACAAAGCCTGATGTGGGGCTCCATCTCACAACTGTGAGATCAGGACCTGAGCCAATATCAAGAGTCAGGCATTTAACTGACAGAGTCACCCAGGCGTCCCTATTATCCTCTTTTTATGGAAGAAAAAAATTCTCTATTTGAAAAATCCCACTGGGGAAACAAACTCTCTAAAGATTTCTGAAGCAACTTATCATTAGTAAACAAAAAAGTCTTAATACAAAATAAATTCATAATATTTAAGAGTATGTAAATTTGTGACAAAAGTATAGTAGACCAAGAAAGATTACTTTAGGAGATAAGAGTTTTGAATCTGATCTCAAGTTTATGATGGGTATGAATTGATGAGAGTGGCAGCCTGGCTGCTTAGAATGACTTGATCAAAGAGAGACACAGAAGTGGTGACAGACTGCAAATAAATAATCGTCAGAACCAGCCAGGACCAGTCAGGAGATCCGGGTGAAGCTGTAAGTTGTATACTTAGTATACTGCTCTGTGTTAGGGGTTGTGGAGAATACAGAGGGTAACTTAGCATTTAGCCAAAGCTCATTGGGCACAAAGGTGAGGGTCCTGGCAAGGAGGAGGGAGAATCACAGTAACCATGAACTTGGGTATTTCTGGGTTAATGCAGCTCCCCTGCTGGGCAGAGTACTTTAAGGGTGGGGATCATGACTTGTTCATCTCTGTAGCACCAGGACTCAGTCTGGGCATGCATGCATCTAGCTGTTCAGCAAATTATTGATGAAAAAGTTAAGGGGGCAGCAGAGAAAGAATATAAGGCTATATTCTTTTAATTTCTCATCAGTGATGTCACACTTAAATTTCTCCTATGCCCACAATCAAAAAGACTTAATCATAAGTGGGAAAATACCATGAATTGCCAGCAAGACAATTAGAAAAGAAGACTGAGGGGACTCATCCGACAAGAGGAAGCATTTATTCAATAAGTTATTAATATGCCACTTAAAATTTTTTTAAGTTTATTTATTTATTTTGAAAGAGACAGAGACAGAGACAGCGTGAGCAGGGGAGGGGCAGAGAGAGAGGGAGAGAGAGACAGAAGCCCAAGCAGGCTCTGACTGTCATGCAGGGCCTGATGCAGGACTTGAACTCATGAAAACGGTGAGATCATGACCTGAGCTGAAACTCAGAGTTGGACGCCTAACCGACTGAGCCACCCAGGGGCCCCATTAATATGCCACTTTAAAATTAAAGTAGAGATATCCTAGTTGAATAACTTACCCCTTTCTATTTACTTTTATTTTTATAAAAGTAAAATTTTATTCTATTTACTTATTGCAAGCACCATTAAGAACCTTAAAATTTTTAGGGGCACCTGGGTGGCTCAGTCGGTTAAGCATCCAACTTTGGCTTAGGTCATGATCACACAGTTTGTGGGTTCAAGCCCCACGTCGGGCTCTGTGCTGACGGCTAACTCAGAGCCTAGAGCCTGTCTTTGGATTCTGTGTCTCCTTCTCTCTCTGACCCTCCCCTGCTCACGCTGTCTCTCTCTCAGAAATAAAATTAAATTAAAAAAAAAAGAACCTTACAAATCTTAAAAGGTGGCCAGTGCCCCCAGATTGGAAATTCCGATTGCACTTTCAAAGTGAAGCATTCGTTAACATCCATGAGAAGTACCTGGGTTGCCTGCAAAGGGAGCCAAAGCCATCAGGATGATTTAGGAGGATTTCAGCATGAGGGTAAAGAAGGCCACTGCCCCATGTCGCACAGCTCTGAGGGCTGACTAGGAGGTGATTTTGCTGAAAATACAGACCATGTGTCTGTGCAGCTCATTGCCGAAAGAACAGATGAAGAACTGGTAAAAGCAGTTGCCTGTAGGAGAGGTAGGTGATTTGGGCATCCAAGGAACCCAGAACAAGGGAGGCCTGTTTCTACTGAAGACTTTTTTCATCTCATTTGTACTTTCTTTAACCACGTACTGTTTACCTTAAAAATAAAAACATCAGGCGATGCCTAGGTGGCTCAGCTGGTTAAGTGGCTGACTTCTATTCAGGTTATGATCTCACAGTTTCGTGAGTTCGAGCCCCACATCGGGGTGTTTGCTGCTAACCTGGCGCCTGCTTCAGGTTCTGTGTCTCCCTCTCTCCCTGCCCCTCCCCTACTCACATTCTGTCTCTCTCAAAAATAAATAAACATTAAAAAATTTTAAAGATAAATAAAAACATCAGGAGGTAGAAATTTGATGAGAAAATTTATTTCTACTCTATTTTAAACAAAACAGAACATTCACAGAAAAATAGCAAAAAGTGATGACAGTGGGGCAGGGAATAAAACCATTTCTTGATAAAGGTTAAAGCAAATCACAGGGAATGCTCAGAATCTTGGAATATGGGGGTTATAAGGCAGCAGGGGGCTGTTGGATGTTTGCAATAAAAATTGTATCATTCACACACTTTACCTAATTTCTGAATTGGACAATTGGACTTATGGCCATCAAATGGTCATTCTTTGGACTTACGAGTTTCTATCCTCTGTCAAATGATATTTTGTGAAGTTAGGATCTTCAGCAGGATTTTTAAAAGCTCCTCAACAAAATAAAGATTTAAGAAAGTAATTTAACAATGATTCCTGTCCTTTATTTTTTTTCTTTTCAGACAGATGTAATTGTTAATTCTGTAGATCTACTGTGTGGTCTTATGTTCGGACCTGTGTCGACATCAATTTTACAACAAGCAGGAAGAGAAATAGAATTGGAATTTAACCAAAAAGTTACTGAGTTGCCTCAAGAGTCTCAGTTGGTACTGATCACAAAAGGATTTAACCTGTCCTGTCAACATGTATTCCATGTGTTATGGAATTTAAGACGTCTCAAACTACCTGTGGTAAGTGCAAATACGTTTGTCTTTATGGAGTTCCATAGTCTTTGTAGACTTTTCTGGATATCCATCATGTCTTTACATTTATGAAACGTTGTTAAGTGGGATAGTCCTCATTTTCTACCACTCTGAAATATGGAAAAGGTGTTGTCACAAGTTATCTTAAGAAGTTTAATTTAAGGGGCGCCTGGGTGGCTCAGTTCATTAAGCGCCTGACTCTGGTTTACGTCATGATCTCACGGTTTATGGGTTTGGGCCCCGCCTTGGGCTCTGTGCTGACAGCTCAGAGCCTGGAGCCTGCCTCAGATTCTGTGTCTCCTTCTCTCTCTGCCCCTCCTGTGCTTGTGCTCTGTCTCTCTTTCTCTCTGTCTTTCTCAAAGATAAATAAACATTTAAAAAATTTAAAAAAGTTTAATTTAAAATATTATCTAACCCATGTCTAGGTTGTAAGTGAGCAAATGGACATGGAAAGAGCCAGGCTTCCTCAGTCTACATGCCCACTCACCTCACCACACCATGACCCTGTCGGCCTTTTCCTAAGGGGGCCTGAAATTCAGCCTCTTCATATTTCCCTCCATCTGTTAAATGCCAGAAGGATCTGGGACTTCCCTTCCAGCATTATTTCCAGGTAAATCTATTACCTAAGGTAACTTTCCACCTATGCCTGTAGTAAAGATTGGCTTTCTGGCCAAATTTTCACCTGAGGCACATAAAATGTACACATTAAAGAGTAGGGAGATGGGGTGCCTGGGTGGCTTAGTTGGGTGAGCATCCAACTCTTGATTTCAGCTCAGGTCAGTATCTCAAGGTTCATGGGTTCGAGCCCTACGTTGGACTCTGTGCTGATAGTGTGGAACCTGCTTGGTGTTCTCTCTCTTCCTCTCTGTGCCGCTCCCCTGCTTGCTCTCTCTCTCTCTCTCTTTGTCTCTCTCAAAATAAATAAATAAATATTTAAAGAGTAGGGGGGACCCGCTCAGATGTGGAGAGAGGCAAACAGTTCCTTTCTCTGATTTTATTCTGTCACCATTTCTGATCCTTCTAATCCCAAATTGGTTCTCCAGTCACTCTACTTCTCAGTTTTCTGAGACTCCTTCACAACGTTCCTGTACTAGAATTTAGTCAGGATGTTGAAACGTTGATGGAAAGTTTAAATCTGCCAAATATATTAGTACTTCTCGAGGAGAAATTGCATAGGACATTGGGACATATCTTAAAGACATTGGATAAAGCTGCTTGCTTATTTTACCCTCTGTCTCCTTTATTAAATTCCAAGAGCTCTTTGTTTTGACCTGGAAGTGGCAGGCAAGTGGGGATACACTGATGGTTGGCTCTCTGACTTGGGGAGATGAGCTAGGCTACATAAACTGGGAGAAAGCATGGTGCCCAGATGTCCTGAAGAGGATAAAACAGAGCCTCAATTACTTCTGTTTCTCTTCATCTAACCTCATGGCTGCAATGGATTCCCCATGGAGTGGGGCCTTTCCTGCTCTCTGAGGAAGCAGGGACATGATCCTGAGGGAGAGTAGAGGTTGGCATTGTAAAATATGGGGGAATCAAGGGTTAAGTGAAGTTTTATTTTGACTCAAAGGCTGATCTGTTTTCCCTACAGAAGCTGGGAACTGCAGTGAAGGAATGTTTGCAGAAATGCCTTGAATTAAATAAAGCTTCCATTTCCTTTCCTGCCCTTGGGACTGGAACCATTGGTATACGGAAGAAAACAGCAGCTAAGATGATGTTTAATGAAGTTTTAATGTTTGCCAAATACCACTTGAAAAAACAACTAACTGTAAAGTTTGTGATCTTTCCAAAAGAACTGGAGACATATAATGTAAGTTAATATTTTAGAAATGTCTTATAGTTCACTCACTGATTCATTCATTCAATAGTATCTGTTCAGTATCTCCTGTGGAGACATGATCTAAGCACCTGTACAGCACAATGATATTCTAACTTGGTGAATTTAGTTTTTTTGCCCACCTCTGACCTAGTAAAGGATGTCATTATGGAAGCCATCTTTACACTGCTACCTAACTTCCCTCTTTTCCTCTGTTGGCCTTTATTTTTCCTTCTGCTCTTCAAAGGTAAGTGACCTTCTAGTTTCAGTGTGAAGTCCTCTGCTCCTCTCTCTTCTCTCTCCCTCTAAGAGCACAAGTATTCTTACAACTTCCACCAAAACCTCTGCAAATTTCTGTCTTCTGAGCCACCTTCAGACCCATACACCCAACCCTCTCTCATTTCCACTTGGTTATCTGATTGTCATCTTAAATCCAACATAATTAAAACAAATTCTTTGTTTTCTTTCCTCCAATCAACTTTTCTGGGCAAGTTAATTTACTTTTCTGAGCCTCAATTTCCTTATCTTTAATCCTTTTTTTTTTTATGTTTTATTTATTTCTAGGAGAGAGAGAGAGACAGCATGAGCAGGGGAGGGTCGGAGAGAGAGGGAGACACAGAATTGGAAACAGGCTCCAGGCTCTGAGCTGGCTGTCAGCACAGAGCCCGACGCGGGGCTCGAACCCGCGAACTGTGAGATCATGACCTAAGTGAAAGTCGGATGCTTAACCGACTAAGCCACCCAGGTGCCCCTCCTTATCTTTAAAGTGGGATAATAGGGGCACCTGGCTGGCTTAGTTGGTAGAGCATGTGACTCTTGATCTCAGGGTCATGAGTTCGAGTCCCACTTTGGGCATAGAGCTTATTTGAAAAAAGAAAAGGTAAAATAAAGTGTGAATAATAACTACTCTCCTATGAAGTTGTTGTGAGCATTAAATGAGTGTATACACACAAGACACTTAGACTGATACCTGGCATACAGTTAAGCCCTCCATGAAGGTCAGCTGTTGTATCAGCTGTAAGGAGCTGTGACACACTGAATGCTAAACTGTATACTAAATTAAATAACTCGTTTGTTATCTTTTTTCCCCCACTTACATTATAAATTCTTTCACGGCACTGGTATATTTGGCAACTTTTGCCATGTCCCTGGTACTGTCCCCAAATTCAATCTGTTGTTTCTTAAATTCTGTGTAGGTGACCTCAGAGAGACGTCTGTTGTGTTCTGATACAAAAGGGAGGGATGTGTGTAGGGGAGTATGTCCATGTGTCTGAGTGCAGAGATCTGTGTGTCCAGTTTCCTTCATTTTCTCTTCAGCTCAGCTTTTGTTTTAGAGTGGCCAGATAAAGCTGAGTTTCTAACCTGTGAAAAGTTCCCTGATGGATTCAGCATAATTAGTATATAGCGCTGTGCTGCTCTGCCTTTAAAGTACTGTATCTGTGCTTTATTCTTGCTTAGCTGGCACTTTGAGAAGGGACTGTCATGATATTAAGAATAAAAAAGGAAGTTAAATAAGATACGGCAACTTAAAATAGGTTTTCAAGACATGCTTTTTTGATTCTGCCGATAGCAACATCCAAGTGCTAGTGCAACTTCCCAGGCGTGTGTCTGGGTTTTGGTTATAAAGGGCCTTGCTCAATTCTGGCAGGGAGAGTGGCTCTGAACACTGATCCTCTGACGGCTTACTCTCCCACCTCCCAGCCTGTCTCCATGTGGGTGGTTGCCATTTTATCTCTCCCTACAAGAAAACGAACTTATTCTTATTCTAGCTTGCTCTTTCCTGGAACAAATGTAAAGGTTCTTATTTCTTTTGCTGCCTGACTAGACACGGGGAGGTTTGTAGCATTTGCTGATATTCATTGCTGACTTCAGGCTGTGAATGTGACATCACTGAAGGTGGAGTTGGGAAGACATGTTCACAGTGAGCTCTCGTGAGCTAATGCCAGCCAGGCTCTCGTATACCACTGTGTCTCAGCCACAGCTGACCTGCAAGATGGTAGAGAGTTACCCAGTGAAGTAGCTTGCCTTCCAGACCAATGAATCACCCTGTCTTTTAAATGAAATTCCCCCTGAAAGCAGAGCACTATCAATGGGCCCAGATAAATGCCCCAAGCATATCCCTGAATTGCTCATTAAGTATCATAGCCCTACAAGGGGAATTAAGTGCATCTAGAAAAGAAGGTTCATCCTCTTCAATACACAAATAAGAATGTACATGGCAGTTCAAAAAAAGTAGAGTGATCAACCACAATTTGAGAGCTGTTCTAAGGATTAATATTAAAGATAGCTGCCATGTATTGCAATAGCCAGGTGTTATGCTAAGGAGAGGCTGTCTCATTTTATCCTCTCCTCAATCCTATGATGAAGTCATGATGGTCACCTCCATTTTACTGAAGGGAAAACATACAAAAGGGTTAACATACACACAGCTAGGCAAGTGGCAAACCGAGATTCCATCCTGGTTCTGTCTCACCTCAAACCCGGTATGTTCTTCTTTTTCTTTTAATGTTTTATTTATTTCTAAGAGATAGAGAGAGAGAGAGAGAGACAGCACGAACAGGGGAAGGTCAGAGAGAGAGGGAGACACAGAATCTGAAACAAGCTCCAGGCTCTGAGCTAGATGTCAGCACAGAGCCTGACACGGGGCTCGAACGCATGAACCGTGAGATCATGACCTGAGCCGAAGTCGGACGCTTAACCGGCTGAGCCACCCAGGCTCCCCAAAGCCGGTATGTTCTTAACCACTAAACAAAAACACAGAGAAAATATGTGAGAGATGATGCATCTTTCATCTCTGTGACTCAAACAAGAGGAGTATCTTACACAGTAATTTATATTATACCCTGAACATTGATCATTCTTTTAGGTTTTTGTCAATATTATAACCATGTGGGAGTATGACTTGTGTGTACACACATATATAAACCTCTGGCCTTCTGATAAGCACCTATTTTCTTCCTAAGTAAGCCTTTCAATGAGGGATGTGTTTTCAGAAAGAGCAGAGGGCAACTTACACAGTTTCTTATGGGAGGCATTACTTTGGCAAGGTCCCTGCATTCCAGAGAATGGATTTGTCAGACATGTAGAGTTGACCTAACTCAAGAAGATTAACCAATACCAAACTTCCAATCAAGTCATACTTACATTCACACACTTAAGACATTTCCAATTCGTGAATGACAGTGAGTACATGACTCCCCAGCTGACTGAAATACTTGTATCCACTAGTATTTCATGATGATAAGGTTTACTGAGTGGAACTAAGTATCTGTAAAAGTCAATGGATAGTCATTTCTTTGGCTATTTAACAAATATTTATAACATATCTACCTCATGCCAGCTACTCTGTCTCAGAATAAGGAATACCTTCTCTAGGAACATGTTACTGACAGCCTTCAAGGTAGGTGCTGTGGACAGTTGCTGCAGCTCTGAATCTGCCAGATTCTTGCCTTCTGGGTCCACTTTTCCAAACCACTCACAGACCATCTGCTTGTTATTCATATTTTCCATGTTACTGATATTGATTGACTAAGTAACAGTTTTCTTTCACATGTTATTCAAAAGTCTTAGCTAATAGAGCTATCTCTGTAATACCTCCTGACTTTTTTTTTTTTTTTTTTAGAGAGAGCATGGGCAGGGGAGAGGGGCAAAGGAAGAAAGGGAGAGAATCTCAAGCAGGCTCCACACTTAGTGCAAAGCTAGATGCAGGGCTTAATCCCACGATCCTGGGATCATGACCTGAGCTGAAATCAAGAGACTGATGCCCAACCAACTGAACCACCCACATCCTGATATTTAAAATAACTTCTGGAGGGGTGCCTGGGTGGCTTAGTCGGTTAAGCATCCGACTTTCGCTTAGGTCATGATCTCGCGGTTCGTGGGTTCGAGCCCCGCGTCGGGCTCTGTGCTGACTGCCAGCTCAGAGCCTGGAGCCTATTTCAGAGTCTGTGTCTCCCTCTCTCTCTGACCCTCCCCTGCTCACGCTGTCTCTCTCTCTCTCTCTCTCCTAGAAATAAATAAAAATATTAAAAAAAATAACTTTTGGAGAGAGATGTTTTTATTCATTTTACATATGACAGATATTATTAATATATTTATCAACAGATAATGTTATCTCATTTGTGTTATTTCCAAGTCCTTGGACAGGGATGGCAAAGAAATACCGTGTCATGATCTCTCCAGGTACTAAATACGGTACGACTGAGGGCTCTTTGCTCTGGATATAGCAGCTACAAATGCAATTGATGCAGAAAGTGTCCTACAGATTAAGAAACTTCATTGTTAAAGTTCAGATACAAAGCCAAATCTAGTCTTTACCTCATTATTTACCATCTTTCCAATAAAGTTATTACTGCCAATTCAATCAACTTTAGATAATAAGGAAGACACTGGGTAGTGGCTCCAAACCCTTACAGAGATTAGTTTTTTTCAGAAAGACACTATGTTAAAGGATCTGCATGGCAACATACACAAATTTTTGTCTATAGAATCATATAATAATAATTACAACAATAGCTAACATATATTGAATGCTTACTGTGTGCCAGGTAGAGTTTTAAGCACTTTACAAGAATTGATCGTGTATTTAGTCTACAGACAAAGCTTGGTGTGCATATACTTTTTAAAAATGAATTACGTTTTATTAATGATAAGAACATCTACCTCTTCTTGCCTTCTTCTTTTTAAAATTTTTCTTTAATGTTTTTTATTTATTTCTTAAAAAAATTGTTTTTAATGTTTATTTTTTTGAGGCAGAGAGACAGAGTGTGAGCAGGGAAGGGTCAGAGAGAGAGGGAGACACAGAATCTGAAGTAGGTTCCAGGCTCTGAGCTGTCATCACAGAGCCCAATGTAGGGCTCGAACTCACATACTGCAAGATGATGACCTGAGCTGAAGTCAGACACTGCCACCCAGGTGCCCCTGTGCTTGTCTTCTCGAGTGACACATCCACAGCTTTAGTTCAGTGTCTAACATGCAAGAAGCTTGTGGAATGAATGAATGATTTTATTTTGCGTTTGGATATACATTCTCCTTTTTTTATACCAGATTTTGGTTTTCTTTCCTGTTTTTCTGTTCTCATTTCCCCAAGATATCCTAATAGATTGTGGTATTGCATAATTTGGTGCTGGTATTGCTCTTCCCTAGGACTTAACAAAAGACTGCTTTAGATTTGTGGCTGTGGGAATGGGGACTTGCAGAGTGGATGAGGTCAGGTGTGGTATGTGCAGGGAGAAGAAGGGATTTTGATGACAATGACTAAAAGCCCCACTTATGACTCTGTTGTTTTGCTTCTTACAGGCTTTCAGTGCTGAGATGGCAAGGAGAAAGGCCGAACTATGGGATTGGAATAATTACGGTGGTGAGTAGGAAATTCACAGCCTTAGAAGCAGAGTCTACCCTCTGGAGGCTCATTCTCTTCTTTATCATCTGAACAAATGGAAGGGAGTAGAAGAAGAAGAAATAAGCCAAATATATTTCACAATGCTCCTGCTTGGGTGCCAACCTGCTTTATGTCTGACCATGATTCTATTTTTGCTCAGTCCACTTTCATGATATGAATAGAGAGAGGCTAAGCCACAGTGGGTATTCCGCAAAGTGGGTAGTCCATTCATAGATAGCTGTCTATAATTTTTCCCTAAGAAAAAGTTCTGCCCTTCATAAGATGTAGTAACGAAGCCAGTTACTCTTTCTGTTCTGAATGGGGTTACAGCTAAATGGGGATACTCATTAGTCATTCTAGAAAACACATCTCAGTAATACCAAATAGTAATAAATGGATTAACCTGATACTACCCAAACCTGAGTAATCACTGAGATCATAACTAAAACTTTAAACAAACAAACAAACAAACAAACAAAAATATGTATAAGCCCCAAATCTATATTTTCTGATTCAGGAGCTCTGGGTCTGGGCCAAGCACGTATATTTTTCAATGGCCCCCTAGTCAGTTTTGCTTCTGAACTAGGTTTGGGGATTACAGGACTACACTAATCATGTTGATGTTAAAAAAAGATTAACTTTGTCTTATAACTCCTTATATTTAGTGAAGGTTGAGTTGATGGAGTTGGAATTGCCTGATGACAGCTAGGATATATACTTTGGAAATAGTACCCATCTACAGTATTCTAGAAATAGTATTAATCCACAGTATTCAATAAATGTTAAAAACACTAGACATTCAACCAGCAATAGAAGCTGTCAGGCTATTTCCCAGTAGGGTCTGAATGGTTTGCTTACACCCTTTAACAGAAGGGTTTGCTTCTGGTTATGCCGTGGTCTAGCAGTGCTAGAAATGAAGACCTGGATACTTGGAGAGCTGTGGTCTGTGCCTGTGCCTCATAGGAACCTACCTGTTTATCTGTAAAATGATGATAATGATAGACTTTTGTCAGGATAACTGGAGATCATGTATGTAAAAATGTTCTGTAATGTAAAGCATTACATGAAGGCCACAGAATAATGTACGAGAGGATGGACAAACTACCCAGGTGGCTGAGAGGAGGGAGAGATACCTTCTGACCTTAAGGGATCAAGAATGACTTCTTAGACAAGTGGTTCTAAATTAGGCTTTGAGGATGGCAGATTTTGTTTTTAATTTTTTTAATGTTTTATTTATTTCTGAGAGAGAGAGAGAGAGAGACAGTGTGAGCAGGGGAGGGTCAGAGAAAGAGGGAGACACAGAATATGAAGCAGGCTCCAGGCTCTGAGTTGGCTGTCAGCACAGAGCCCGACACGGGGCTTGAACCCATGAACCATGAGACCATGACCTGAGCCAAAGCTGGATGCTTAACCGACTGAGCCACCCAGGCGCCCCAAGGATGGCAGATTTTTAATGGCAAGAGCTGGTGGGGTGGGGCATCCAAGGTGAAGAAAACCCACAGAAGCAAACTAATGCAGTGCTTATGTGGGGAACTGCACTGAATCTAGGGAAAGTAGCTAGGAGTGAGGATAATATGGAAAAGGAACATACAAATGTCTCTATGTTATTAGTTTGAATAATAGGGCCAGGTGTTACCAGTTATTTCAGTAATTTTTGAGGACATCTATAAAAGAATTATGATAACACAGGATAATAACTGACATCAAAATGGGTTAATGGTGATGATCTCAGGTTATCAAGGAAAAGTTAAACAAGGAAGGCAGGGAAATGTGTTTTCATTAGAAATATTTATGTAATACAGTAAATAAATAATTTCACTAATAAATATTTAACTAATGTGTTTTGGTGCTAGAAGAGTATCCTTTAGTGATCTTAACAAATAGTTACTCAGAAGAATAATTCTTTTTTTCCCCTGGTAATGATGGATAAATGAAGTATCACTATGTATTGCCTCTATATTCTCCCAAAAAGTAATATAAGCTCCCAGGCAGAACAAGGGTTAAAAATAAACAAACAAGCTCCTATGCCTCCAATTTAAGAAGTCTTGTCACTTCTATAGTCTAAAATATTGGCTTTTATTTTTACTCAGAGGAAGCCATCTTCCCTCTCTGACTTCTAGGTCTATCTTGGTACTATTTCCTGGTTCCTGGTACCACCCAACTATTATATAAAGAGAATAGATGCTAATTACCACTACTAACTTGGGATCACTTCTGGAGAGGCAGACTGCCCACACCTACTAGCTCCATGACCACCATTTACTAGTCCTATAATCCTTTATTAACTAGTCCTATAACAGGAAAGTTACTTAATAACTCTGAATGAATTTCCCCATTTGTATGATGGGGCTGTTAATAGTATCTATCCCGTAGGGTTGTGAGGAGTGAACAAAATAATTTATGTGAAACACTTAGAACAATGCCTAGAACATAATATGTGCTCAATTTACTTTTCCCCTTCAAAATATGTTTCTGAGATTCTTCCAAATAGCTGAAGTTCACTCCTTTTTATTGCTATAATAATATTCTATTGTTGAAGAGCATTTGAGTCATTTCCAGTTTTTTGCTGTTACAAATGAGAATGTGAACTTTCTTGTACATATCTCCTGATATACACGTGCAACAATTTCTTTACAAAATATAATTGTAGGAGTGTTTGTTCCAGTTTTACATCCATTACGAATATATACAGGAGTCCCAGTTGCTCTATATCCTCCCCAAATTTGGTATTGTCAGGCTTATGAATTTTTGCTAACCTGGTAGGTAATTTTTAATATCGCCGACTACCAGTGAAGATGAGCATCTTTTCACACATATATGGGCACTTTGTGTTTCCTTTTTTTTTGGTGAAATCTTTTGCTGGATACTAGGTTCTTTTTCTGGATAATTTGAGAGAATTCTTTATACATTCTAGATACTACCTCACCTTTGAATTTCCTCTCAGCTAGCCCATTGCCCCCTGACTTTTTTCTTTTCTTTTCTTTTCTTTTTTTTGCAGTTTGGGCTCAGAGCTACTCTAATCCATCAGAGATTCTTCTTCTTTATATATATCTTCACTTCTTACCGGGGGGGGGGGTTGTAGAGAGGGGTACACATGGGTAGGTTGGAATCAAGTTCCATAACGTTTTCTGCTGGGATATACCATGTTGCACAGAAGGAGCTGTTAAGCCCCAGATTCTATGAAGATATAAAATGTCCTGTAAGATACATAAAGGAATTCCAGGCAGTGGAATTATGAGTATTTCTTCCTTTCATTATACTTGGATAATTTTCTAATTTTTCAGAAATAAATGTACTATTTTTATAATCAGAAATGGTTTCATTTTTCAAAAAGAATTTTCACTCTTTAAGTTCTATGGCTTTCAGAGATGTTTGATTTCAAACTCGGTGATAGCAAGAGATTAAGGAAAATCCCAGTCAGCATGAAATAAAGGCATACCTCATTTTATTGAGCTTCACAGATACTGTATGATTTTTGTTTTGTTTTACAAACTGGAGATTTGTGGTAACCTTGCGTCGAGCAAGTCAGTTGGTGCCATTTTTCCAACAGCATTTGCTCACTTTGTGTCTCCAAATCACATTTTGGTGACTCTCACAATATTTCAAACTTTTTCATTATTAGTATGTTTGTTATGGTGATCTGTGATCAGTGATTATGATCACTGGAAGCACAGATGATGGTTAGCATTTTTTAGCAACAAAGTATTTTTTTAATTAGGGTATTTACATTGTTCTATATAAAATGCACACTTAATAGACTATAGTGTATACATAACTTTTATCTGCACTGGGAAACCAAAAAGTTCATTTGACTCACTTCATTGCAATATTCACTTTATTGCAGTGGTCTGGAATCCAAACAGCATGTATGTCTATAATAGTTGGTTAACATCCAGGGTGATATCACAGGGTGAATTCATCTGTAAGTTGACACTGCAACAGAGTAGCAGCAAGGCATGAGAAAGCCAACCCCTTACAAGCTCCACTGTTCTCAAGGAGACTGTAAACCGCACATTTAGATTTCCTTCATATCCACCACAGCTCTCAGAGATAGGCACGTAATTGAAGCTGCTGCTGCTGACAAAGGTCACGATATCCTTGGGGCAAATATTGTATTGGTGTTTTGTTCTGCTCTGGTGTAAAGCCCACTTTCCTTCTGTGGTCTTTTCAGTCCCCCAGTTGACCAGAGAGGAGAAAAGAAAAAATGACCTCGAAACTAAATCTCCTGCCATCAGGCTGATGGGACGCAACATGGAAAAGATGAAGGAGGCCCAAGCATGGATCCAAAGGATACTGACCCTTCAGGACCACCACATCATTGAAAATAATCATATCCTCTACCTTGGGAAAAGGGAACATGACATTTTGACTCAGCTCCAGAATAACTTAAGGGTCTCTATCTCAGAGATTATCAGTGTGGAAAAGGTAATTTTAGAGATTAAAGGAGCCCAAGCTAACCTCATTGAGGTGGTTATGAACATTGAGCGTATGCTGTGTGAAGTTCAAGAGAAAATGGCAAGAAAAAAGGAGCTAGCCCTTTGGAGCTTGTCAGGTGAGTACCTTTCAATTAAGGTGAAAAGTCAGCTCTCCCAACTGTTCCTTCTTATGGGTATGAGTGTGCCTGTACGTATGTGGGTAAGAGATAGCTTGGAAGAGAGAGCACACCATGCTGGTTCTGTGTTAACCCATAAAGTTTTGCAACTGTTTTCTGGCTCTCTTTCTACCAGCAAGGTTAATTAGGAAATCAAACACACACACACACACACACACACACACACACACACACACACACACACACGTGACTGGATTTACTTATGATGAAATGGATTGCCTAAGAAGCAGTTAAATGGAAAGCCTAGGATAACACAAGCCCAGGCTCTGAAGAAAAAAGTACATCCCTAAATCTACAAATGGAACATTCAACTTTAGACAGACACATTACACTTGATTAATTTCTTTGAGTTCTATTGCGTTTATGTATTTGTTGCTAGCAGCATTAGGAACCCTAAAATTACTTTGAGCTCTCTCACCAAAGTAAATTATTCATTCCTACTGTGAAGTACATTCAAGTATCTCCTATTCAGCGGGGCAGAATTCATCATGATGACTGGGAATTTGGGTCCAGAGATATCTTTTTAACATAGCCCTAGAGCTAACTAACCATTGAAAATGCCACCTTGGGAAACAAGGGCTAGTTTCACTTATTTATTTGATAAATGTATATTGTATCCATGATATGTGCCAAGCATTGTGCTAGGTGCTGGGAATACAGTGATAAGATGGACAATGTTTCCACTCAAAATCTAAAATTAAGGATACTGAGAAGCCAGTAGGTTAGTTCTGAAAGTGGAGGGTGAAAGTCCTCTGGGAGCACCTCGGAGAGACATTCTGATATTGCGATTTGTAAGGTATATTTGGCCATTCAGATGATCAAAATATATGGTCATATATATTTGGTCTCCTTCCGCATTTCTGGTTTACAACTGTCAAAGCCCTTGGATTTCTTAAGTGTTGCGAGTGATAAAGGTGTCTTTTGTTATGTTAATGAGGTGACTGGGGTGGGGGGAAGCAGCTAAGAATGGGTACTGGTCATTAGGACACCAAACACTGTGGTTGGAGGATTGGAACTTTCAGTGGCCCCTCACCCAACGTCTGGGGAAGGGGCTGGAGGTTGAATCAGTTGCCATTGGTCAATGATTTAATCAGCCATGACTATGTATGGACTTCAGTAAAAACCCAGGACAGGTTCAGAGAACTTGCAGGTGAGTGAGCACGTGGAGAGTGTTAGTGCATATAAAAGTTGCATATAGGGAGAGTGGCTTGCTAGGAGGGAACATGGAAGCTCCACACCCTGTACCCATTCTTCCCTTGCGTTATGCATCTTTTCCATCTAGCTGTTCCTGAATAATATCCCTGTATAATAAAGCAGTAATCTAGTAAATATAATGTTCCTCCTGGTAAGTAAAATATTCCTCCAAGTTCTGTGAGCTGCTCGAGCAAATTGGACCTGAGGAGGAGATGTTTTGACCAGCAGGTCAAAAGTACAGGTAACAATCTGGACTTGCAAATAGTGCCTGAAATCCATGGAGAAGGTCATTGGAATCTCTAGTTTGTAGCTAGTCAGTCAGAAGCACAGGTAACAACCTGGCTTTCGACTGGTATCTGAAGTGTGTGTGTGTGTGTGTGTGTGTGTGTGTGTGTGTGTGTGTGTGTGTTGGAGAGCAGTCCCGTAGGACTGAACCCCTAACCTGTGGAATCTGATGCTATCTTTGGGTAGATAATAGCAGAATTGCTTGGTTGAACATATGCAAAGCCTCCTACACACAGAGACTTTGGAATCAGTCTCAGAATACCAATTTAGGCACTTAACTCAGACTTGGGAGGTCAAGGGAAGGCTTCTCAGAGAAGGTGTCATAAATAGAGAATGAAGAATAAGTAGAGAGGTGCCTGGGTGTCTTAGTTGAGTGTGGAGCTCTTGACTTTGGCTCAGGCCATGATCTCATGGTTGTGAGATAGAGCTCTGCATTGGGCTCTGCACTAGGTGTGGAGTCTGCTTGAGATTTCTCTCTCTTCTTCTCCCTCTGCCCCTCCTCTGCTTGCACTCTCTCTCTGACTTTCTCTCACTCTCTCTCTCAAAAAAAAAAAAAGAATAAGTAGAAATTAGTAAGGTAAAGAAACGTTTCAAGCAATCAGACCACAGCAGGGTCTAGATTATGAAAGACTTTATAAATCACATGGAAGAGTTCAGAGTTTTTCTTGAAATGTTATACCCAGATCGCAGTATCCTCACTGACCAGAGACCACCAGGGAGACCGAGTCATGCATGCAAAGGCAAAGGGCTTTATTACGGGCTTAATAAGCTCGGGCTCACAGACTTCACCAGCGTATGGGTCCGTGCTGAGAGCCTCGAACAAGGGCAGAGTAGGGTTTTTATGGGGTTTGAGACGGGGGAGTTACAGAAGTTGTGACATGGGAACAGTGATCCAGTCATAATAATTCAACAGCATTGACAGTGGGTTTGACCATACACATTGTCTAGAGTATTCGTTTCTTTTGGCGGGATCCAATTACAGCATTTAGAGTAACTTTAAATTCAACCAATCACAGAGCGAGCCTAGGGTCTTGTTCGGCGACTAACAGGTTAACTTTAACATTAGGTAACAGGGTCCTATCTATAGTTTCTATCCCCAGGCCTCTCCCTTAGTAATGTGGAGGGTGGTCGCTGGACTTTCCTGATTGGGTGTTGCAAGGGTGGTTTCTCCTGCCTTGGACAATGTGTAACTGCCTGATAGTTTCAGGAAAGCTGAAACTCAGGCCTTCTAGTTCAGAGGGGAAACTTAAAGCCTGTCATGGAGTCAGTTTGGTTTAGACGTTTAGACTTGTGCCCTTACAGAAACAAATTGGGAGCCTTGAAGGATTTTAAGCAAAGATAAGGTTAGACTTGTATTGTAGAAAGATCACCTTAATGTTGATGGGTTTGGTACAAAAATTCAGATGTGAAATTTCAAAGGACACCTTATTTTCACTTGTGTTTGTAAAAATAATTCAGGCAGACATGGTCAAAGCAAGTGGGGTATACAAGAAGTGTTGTATCCACATTCCCCAGAAAAACCAGTGTCAAAGAACAAGCACAAAAATAATACACAAGGATGAGACCAGAGATTATGATTTCTAGTTAGTTTGAAATGTAATGAATGTGGGTATTTAAATTGACACTGCTACTTCCCAAGAGAACAAGAGGCAAAAAAACAAACAAAAAAACCAAAACAAAACAAAAAAACACTGGTTTATAAAACTTGTGGCATTACTTTAAACTAACTGCATTCTTAAGGTTGACAGTTTAGTCATGTAAGTCCCACGTTCTGCTGCAAGGTGGCATTTTTGATAGTTGATGACTAAGCACAGTATTCCACAGCAGTATTTCAGAGTTTCCTACAGACTCACCCTCTCTTAATCAGATTAAGACCTTCATTAACAAAATGGATACATTTCAAGGAGTTATTACTACAAGGAACATCAACGATCCATCAGAAAAATAAAAATTTAAATAATAGAAGTTAGGTATTTCCTCTTTTATGCTGCTTTTTAAATCCTTCCTTGTGAGTGCTTTTTAGCTGCCCAACCCAGGGCCTGGCATGAGCTTAGTAAATGTTTGCTGAACTCAAGTGAACTGAATTCTCTTACTATACCTTATTAATGTCAGCTAGTACTCTTGAGATTTAATTTACAGCTTCTTTCTTTGAGATTTCCTGGGATTGGAGTTTCTCTGCTATGAAATTTTGTCCTTCCTGATTTCCAGATTTACAAGTTGGCCCCTCTAGTGAATTTCCTTGGATTTATCATCTGCTTTTTTGTGGTTAAATTGAGACCACTCAATTAAATAATGTGCTGGGAATTTTGTTATTTTTGTATACTTGGATTTAAGTCAAACTGAAAATAAACTAAAACAAAAGAAGTCTTTTTGTGGGGGTGGGATTCCATTTGTCCACCTGTATATTTTTTCCAATAAGGAGTTGCTAGGCAATAACAGGTTGTCCCTTGAATTCAAAAAGGAAGGTAGGAAAGTTAAGGGAGAAGGAAAAATGGAAGAAAAAAAGGAATGGAGGAAAGACAGGACACCATAGACTCTGAATCTCCAAATTTTGATCTTTGCGGTTGGGTGGCATATATGTACGGAATATTCTGCCTTGCCACTTAACAGAAAGCCCTGATGAAAGCCAGGTTTATAGTCTTGGGTTGTACCTATTAGCTGTGTGATATCGGGCAAGTCACTTAACTTCTCTGAGTTTCAATTTCCTTACTGGTAAAAGTGTGTTAATTATAATTATTTCAGTGGTGGTTTTATAAAGCTCAAATGAGGTTGAGATATGAAATCTTTTTGAGAATCTTGAAGTTTTATGTAAATGGCATACTGTTTTTCATCATTCCTTAATGTTTTGTTATGCCCATGTCTTTTGGTTGATGAGCATCCTGGCTAGAAATATAAATGTTCCCTATTGGCAACACAATTGTATATCATCATTACAACATTGATGGGGGAAGTATATACTAACGCTCTTTTTTCTCTCATGCCCTCAGCCTCATAATCCAAACCATGTGAGGACAAATTTATTAGTCCCCTCTCTTATGACTTTTCATTATATGATACTGCCCTTGCATGCCTAAACCTACAAGGCATACAGTTTAAACTGGCTAATCGATTCCTTTAAATTTCTATAATTTCGTTCATTACATTTCTTTACAAACCTTTTTCATCTCACAGAGTGTTGAGACCAAGTTTTTTGTTACTTACTTTTAGGACAATGGACTGATCAGCAACCAAAAAACCAGGATGAAATGAAAAGGAATACATTTCTGAAATGTGTAAAGCTTTCAACTGAGGAAATTCATGATCAGAAGAAACAGTTTGAAAGCTGTGGTTTGCGGGTTATAAAGGTATACTTAATTAAGGGAAGGATTTGACCTGTTCAGGTTCTATAACCAAAGGAAGAACTCACCTGCTGATGACTCTAAGCTAGCTACTCATTGACCTGGGACCCTAGGATTAAGACCAAAAGTGGGGCAGGGATGGGCACCAGGAAGTAGAAATGATATCAAGGAGGACAGAAGCACTGATCAAGATTCAGGGGAAAATTATCTGCTTATTTTGAAGCAAAATGAAAGAAATGAAATAGCATATACCACACTGTATTTTTTTCAGTGTTTTATTTATTTTTGAGTGACAGAGACAGACCACAAGCAGGGTAGGGACAGAGAGAAAGGGAGACACAGAATCAGAAGCAGGCTCCAGGCTCTGAGCCGTCAGCACAGAGCCTGACGCAGGGATCGAACTCACGAACTGTGAGATCATGACCTGAGCTGAAGTCAGAAACTTTACCAACTGAGACACCCAGGTGCACCTCCACACTATACTATAATTGTTTACCTACTTTTACCTCTCGCTAAACTGTGGGCTCTTAAGAAGGCCAAGAATGTGTTACACTGTTGACCATTTCATTACCAGTGCCTGGCACATAGTGAGTGCTCAGTGAACTTTTTTTTTTTAATGTTTTTTTTTTTTTTTTTATTTCTAGGAGAGAGAGAGAGACAGCGTGAGCAGGGGAGGGTCAGAGAGAGAGGGAGTCACAGACCGAAACAGGCTCCAGTCTCTGAGCTGGCAGTCAGCACAGAGCCCGACATGGGGCTCGAACCCACGAACCGCAAGATCATGACCTAAGCGAAAGTCAGACGCTTAACTGACTAAGCCACCCAGGCGCCCCTCAGTGAACTTTTATTAAATGGATTTATCAAAGAAGGGACACAGAATTTTGAAGGGACAGAAGTCAAAGTAGGAGGATTGGGGCTCGGAGAGACTCTTTAAAAACTTTATATAAAAAGCAAATTGCATGCAAAGTAATATGCACATAAGAGCCTTTATCTTTGAAGTGGCGTACCAGGCACTTGAAATAGTGGTTCTCACTCTTTTTTCTCAGTTTTTTCAGTTTTTCATATCCTTGGGTCATAGGTGGAGGAAATTGACAATGCAGTTCTCATGGCTATCTTCCAAAGAAAGAAGAAAATTGTGGAAGGAAGAACACATAGGGATCCTGTGAGCCACAGGTTGTTTCAGCAAGTTCCTTACCAGTTCTGTGAAGCAGTATGCAGAGTTGGCTTTCAAAGAATGTACTCAGTGCCTTGTGGTAGGTATTAGCCCCTCATCATCAGTGGGGGGCCGGCGGGGGGGAATCTATATGTGGGAACTGGTAAGCAGACATCAGCAGATGACTCACTACTAATAGGATGTGTTGCTGAGGTCAGGAGATCACTTGTAACTGGTATTTAGTGGTATAGTCATTTGGAAAGGGTCATATTTTTAATTTTTCCTTCATATATTTTATTGCTGATAGGTTTAATGTTGACGAAAGTGAGCGGTGAGATCTACAGTTCACTGTTTTTCTCTTTTCTGTGGTCACATGTTTTATCTGCAGAGAGCACCCTGAAGCTGGGTTTTTTTTTTTTTTTTTTTGGCTTATTTCCACAAAATTATTATCAACATTACCAAACCTCATCCCTTAATAAAAGGGTACTTTCCTGAACTTCGTAAAGTCACTCTTTTCTCTTCTATCTTCTTCATTTCCTGTAGCCTGCCAGTGAATGAATTAGATATCTGGCAGGCGAACTAAATAACATCTTAAGATCCTTTTCAGCTATAGGACTTCAATGCGTAGCTTCCCTGTCTCTTTTCAGTTGTACAAAAATATTGCATACTTAAGTGCTGTTTTATCCCCTTAAGATATGTCCATAGGAGTCTAAGAAGTTTAGTAATAATCATGGAGGATGCCTAGCAATGTGGCTTGATTTTGCCTGATCTATTGACTATGTTCTTGATCTTTACCTTTCAAAATATATAGCATGATCCTTGCTGTGAAGCTAACTTCAACTCTTGATTTCTAGAAAGCAAAGGGTCTAGAAATCATTTATTTGCCCCGGAGAGAACATAAGTAATACCTGGAGTAAAAATTGAACATGGAAAATTCCTGGGGTTAAAAACTCATAAATGAATCCCCACCAGTAAGTCTTTGAATATAACCAGAAGAGTGATATTGGCAAAAAGTCTTAAAAATTCACAACATCCATTTGCTCCTAAACCCATCATAACTGGCCCTCTCTGCACTTCCCCTCCCTATCCCTACCTGAACTAGTCTCACTAAGAACATCACTATCCACTTATTTTTCAAATCCAGTAGTGCCTTCTTTTCAGTCCTGTGGCAGACACTGCTAATTGCCTACCTGACATCTGTACACATCTTTCTTCCTAAAAAACAAATACTCCACTTCCCAAGGAAAAGAGCCTCCGAATCTCATCTTGTCCTATCATCAGCTTCAAATCCAGAAAGTCCTCTCTTAAAGCTTAAAAGCAAAGTAATTGCCCTAACCCACTCATTATATAATGAGAGGAGGAGGAGCAGGAAAACTGCAATAAAAACTCCCAATTTCTAGGGGCACCTGGATAACCTAGGCGGTTAAGCATTAACTCTTGATTTTGGCTCAGGTCATGATCTCACATCGTGAGTTTGAACTTTGCATCAGGCTCTGCACTGACAGCGCTGAGCCTGCTTGGGATTCTCTCTCTCCCTCTCTCTTTGCCATTCTAACAAAGTAAATAAACTTAAAAATAAAAACCCTCCAATTTCTAAAGGGTAGAAGGAGAGTCACGGGTCCTTACCACTAATCACATGCTGCTGGATGGGCACAGAGAGGACTCTCTCTTCTGGGAGTGGAGTAAGACCCTTGTTTTGCACGCTGAGAAGAATCTTCCTTATGTGTTGCCACCTATTGTCATTTCTAGGCCCACTGCCTATCAGGGGTCCGTGGATTGCCTCAGGGGCTAGAATGCTCTCAGGCTGCTGACAGCCAGGCTTGCAGTTTCTTCAGCAATACAGTTCCTTTAAAACCCCAGCAGGCATGAAGCCTGTTTGCTTCTGGTCAAGACCTCACCTAGAGGTCTTATCTTCCTATAGTCTTTAAGCTAAAGCTTTAAGCTTTAGGATTCTGGTCTTTTGCCTACTGGCCTCTGTGCTCAAGTCCATATTTCTGACTGTCTTTTTTAACATTTCTGCCTAGATATTCCATAGTCACCTCAGACTAGACTCTTTTCTTGGCCATACTTTTCTCTGAGAAATATGCTTTCATCCTGCTCCTTCTTCCCCTCCCCCCCCCCCCCCCCCCCCCCCCCCCCCCCCCTAATAAAAATATTGATTATCCGTGTAAGAATAAAGTGTAAGACGGACGCCTGGGTGGCTCAGTTGGTTGGACATCAGACTTTGGCTAAGGTCATGGGTTCCACTCTGCCTCGTGGTCTGTGTTGACAGCTCACAGCAAGAAGCCAGCTTTGGATTCTGTGGATTCTGCTTTTGGATCTCTGCCCTTCCCCCACTCACATTCTGTCTCTCTCTCTCAAAAATAAACACTAAAACAAAATTTAAAGAAAGTGTAAGATCGGTGCATAGAAAGACCGTACTTGCCAAATACCAGCACATCAGGTTCCCTCGTGCCAACTGGTCCCGGGGGCTGAGCACACAAACTGCTTCTCTGTGCTTGCTCCAAGCGGCTGGACGTCAGAGTAGCGGCGCGCCTGCCGCCATTGTACCTCCAGGCGGCTGGGGCCCTGAAAGAGCCGCGCAGACACCGGGAGTCCGCGGTCCTGGCTGGCTGGAACTCGAGAGGGAAGGCAAAGAACTAAAAACTGGGAAATTAGCCTGTGAGTTCGTGTTTCGGGTGACAAGCCATAGAGGGACCCGGTTTTCCTCACTCCAGCGGGCTTGGGTTCAGAGCACCCGGCAGGCAAGCCCCCACCCATGCGCGCCAGCCCGACCCAGAGAAGGAAGCAGCGATTCTGACGCCACCCCCAGAGCTCGGCAGGGGGCCTGGAATTGCCCCATGGGGGTTGCCTGAGACGTTGTGTCTAAGGCAATTTCAGCAGGGTGCACGGACTGGGAGTTAGAGATTGGAACTGGCCTGGGTTGAAGAGTACAACCAACTTTGCTGCGCCCTCAATACGGGGAGTTTACACGCCCAAAAAAGCGAGGTGCAGCGCTTGGTTCAAGAAGGGATTGGAGCACCGTCACTCTCCTCCCCACAACCACCAAGACAGAACTCCCGCCTGAGGCATTGGATCACGCCACGCTCATCCCTACCTGAGAGTTGCCCTCCTCCCTTTTTTTTCCTTTTTTCTTCTTCTTTCTCTTTTCTCTTTTTTCCCCAGAACGCTGACCTGATTAACTCTGGTCGCTGGCTTGGTTAAACAATCACGAGTCCATTGTGTAAATGAAA